TGATCATAATAAATTACCCGGATAACCCGGGTAATTTAATAATACCCGGGTAGGGATTTTCTCAACGGGTCCAACCTTTAGTCGATTCCTATTACTAGGTGCTTATTCACAGCAAGATACAGTATCTTTTTAACTGGTTTATATGCTCAATTTCTCTAGGCTTTTCATTTGTTTTCCCACTGTAGTTCCTATAAAAACTTTTGCTACATTATGGACATAATACAGGCTGGTAAATTTCTTGTTCAATTTAACACTATATAATATTAACTTTATAATATTTTATCACCTATAGAATAATGCTATATTATATAGCTTTGACTTTTGTTTTTCTTAAGCATGAGTAATATTTAATCTAAAAAACACCCTTTTTGGCAAATTTTCGATACGGCACAATAATTGATTCTGTTACTAGTCCATTAATTGAATATATTGCAATGAAAAATCCAAATAATGCATTAACAAATAAAAAAGGTCGAAATTATATTGAAAAGGGCATGTCTTTAGAGGTTGGAAGCACAGATGTAAGGTTTGTGCCGAATGCAATCATCATTCACACATATATTGCAAAGCATGCAAAAAAGTAGCGTATGGGATATATAAACAATGTGAATGTGAAAATTCTCGAATAATTAATGTTTAATACTAAAAATAAATCAGAATTAACGATTTGGTCATACGTATTCATTAGCATACGTTGAATAATTCCACATATATAATCACCCTATAAAGGCTTATCGATATTGATTACTTATTTGTGAGACAGGGCACAAGTAGAAATCGCCATTTTTTTATTTTTACAAGATGCATAACATGAATATTTAAACTTTTAGAATAAAATGAAAGGTCATGGATATTAATCAATATTTGAAAATGTGAACACTTGACCGAATTTAGTTTAGGACATTCTGGGAACTAAATGACAAAATTTCAAAATTACCACATATAAATTGGCGAAGCGACAGGTCGCATCTAGTAATAATAAATAACCGAAAAAATATGCAAATAATAATGCTTTTCTACTAGAATCTCATATTATAACACTATCATACCAAAATTACAAGTTTACCAAAAATTATGCTGCCACTACCAGAATTAATATTTTCGGAATTACGAATTAAATTGCCGATATATTATCTCAAATTATTTTATTGATATCAATATAATGAAGATAAAAAATTTAATTAATGCAGGTACCAGGGACACTAGGAGATCCGGTGCAAATTCCATCGCAACATGTAATTGAACTGGTTATGTCACAGGAACCTCCAATAGGAATACAGGTAGGAGCACAAACGGTTGAAGTAGGTGTGCAAGTTACTGTTGTTGTTTGTTCGCATTTATCGCAATTATTAGGCACCTGTGTGTTATCAGGACAAGCGCTCAAGGTAGGTGTTTCTGTTGAACAGGTTATAGTGGATGTTATTGTTTCAGAACTAATATCAGTGATAGTACATGTTTTAAGGGATTGCGGATGATATTTATGTCTAGCATCGATGGTTAATGCTAACAAATGAATGAGAAAAATAATGAAGAGTGAATTGAAGACCTGTCTATTCATTATTGACTTTTTATTTAAGAATCATACTTTATTCATGAAAATACGCTTTAATTTATAGATAAATTTTTAACAATTCTTGTTACATAAAGATGTATAATACTGTATTAATTTAATGAAATTTAATGTAGAAAATTAATATGAGGAATCAATATGAGGCCTAACTTTTAGGACTGCAAAACATAATGTATTCATGGTAGCTAGGGTTGTTAATGGAGTACTCCAGTCAATAGTAAAACATATAACCCACTCCGGAGCACTCCAGAAGCGGGTTATATGTTTTATTAATGTCTGGAGTACTCCATTAACAACCCTAGGATCTTTTAAGCTCCCGCTTACGGCATTTTTGAAAAAAGTTAATTCTGAAACCTCATAGTAAATCCATCATGCTGAAGCACAAAATCCGTAAATAAAAATCATATGTTCAAATTGAATTTTAATATTATTGACATAATGTAGAAATTTTGAATGTAGGGACTTTGCTAAAAAAACAAAATTGAAATATTGACAAGTAATTTTTTAATTTGATATGAATATCCTAACGCTCATTTTGTGGATTGAAAAGCACTCTAAATGTAATTATATTGAATCATGCTAAAGGCCTTCTACATACTTTTCGTAAATTGTTGAAATTAATTCCTATGATTATTATTTTCCTGATGCAATCGTTTATCTAACAATTGTATCTCTTTAGAAACTATTCTTATAGCACGAAAATAAATATATACATAATTGACTTAGAAATTGTCTTTTTAATACATACATTATTAAACCTTTAACATTATCCTGATTATCATTCTCACAACTGGGACTTGTTGTCTGTTGCAATAGTTCAACACCTGACTTGATTAGGTCCTTTTCGATTCTCAATGTTCTAACCTAGTGATAAAATCTTTCATTTGGCAAAAAATCATTGGTCTTTAATTTGGTTCGTACTTCTATTTTCTATTTGACTATCCGGATCAGGATCCCGTTTTATATTTTGCATTATTAATTTACTATTTTTTTTAAAAAAAAAATCAAGCATTTTCTTTATTATTATTTTTGTTATGAAAAAATTTAGATAAATTTACCAATTATTTCAGCTATTATAAAAATGAAGCCTGTTTTTAATAGTAATTGCGAAAAGAGATACATTATATATGTGACGTAAAACTATCTAATGGGGTTCAGAATTAACTTTTTTTCAAAATAAGTAGGAGTTTAAAAGATCATATTTTCTTTTTTAGAATTCCGAATCAGAAAATTAAATAGTGTAGCCAGTGAAAAAATAGCTTTTTGATAAACATTCATCGGTAAGCAATTATGTAAATAAGAACATGCTTAAAAAATAGAATTTGTACGTTGCTTCTTTTGAAATAAATATGTCACTTATTTTATCTGAAATTGGACGTCGAATCATTAATTCTGGAACCCAATACTATTCTATCACCATTCCTTACGAAAATGACAAACACATCTGAAGCCTATTCGTTTAAAAATGGATCTTAAAAATTTATAGAGTAATTATTATTTAAAAGAATATTAGTGTATCAGGTATTTTAATGTAATAATGTACTCTGCGCGTTATTTTGAGGTTCATATGCGGTAATCAAAATATTAGCAATTTTCAAAAAAGTAGACCTTTCGAAATAACGCTCATATACATTACTTCATGCAGATCGAAGTAAATTACGTTGTCGGTTAAATTACCCCACCTCTACGTTCCTATACCATTAACTAAAAAAAAAATAAAAAAAAAATAAAAAAAAAATAAAAAAAAATAAAATTATTATTGAGAGAATCTTGTGACTGTGATCATACTAGAGCTTTTATTAGAAGCTGCTAACAGATTTTTACATTCAGAACTCTTAGTCAATTCTTGTTTTTTTATAAGAATTTTAATAATATGTAAGTCACGTATTTATTAAAATAAATATTTAGTAACATAATGTAACCAATATATTTATTTCAAAAAGCGTAGAGCGCTGCATATGACAAATAATGTAGATCAATTTTTTAAAATATTATTTATGTATGCCATGTGATGTAAACAATTGTGTAACTCGCGTGATCTTTAATTTTCACTATGTAAAAAATCCGTATCACGCCGGGTACTGTATGCAGCGCTCTGTGGTAACTTAAGAACATTTTAAAATTCTATAGACCTGTAAAATTCTAACATGTTGATTCCTATCGAGATATCTTCAAAATTAAAAATTACCCGATTATGATCGATTACACTTTTTTTGTTTAAGATATATTAGTAATTGCCTATCAAGTTTTTGATTTTAATGCCGTTTTAAAACTCTACAGTGGTTGATATTTCGGTAAAAGTTAGGAAAAAATTTTAATGTATTTTAGAATCTTACGAACTGTCGAAACTGCTTAGTTTTTGCTGAGATACCTAAAATATCATTGTTAAAATTTCTTTCTATAATTTTTCTATTAAACAACTTCGTATTGGCCCCTCATATCCATAAAGATATATAATATTCGACTTATTTCAACCTTTAATATTAGTATTTATATAAAATAAAATAATATAATATAATATAAGGAATCCACCAAAATTATTACAGTATGATCTCCTGAAATTTATTTCTCCTCACAGTGTTACAGTTTGCTAAAATATGTATCTGCAACTAATAATATACTAGCCTAACCTTTGTGATATCTTATAGGAGAAATAACTTTCTGGGAATTGAGCGACAACTTACTAAAAATTAAAAACTTCTGAATTCGAAAATTAAAATTTAGAATCTATTATGATCGAATCACGTAATAAATTGTCAATTGTTGCATATATTAATAAATTTTGAAAATAAGTGTTCACCCTGTCAAAACTGATAACCTATAACCAATGTTAGGCTCTGGACCAAAAGTCCGCTCTACTGGATTTATAAACTAGACTACTGGACTTATAGGTCCAGTGGACTATTTATAAGTCCAGTTCCAGTTCAATTTTACTGGACTTATAAGTGACCCCAACACTGCCTATAAAAATTGGTCCACCATGTTCGTTCCATAATCTAAATCTGATAACCTGCCTTTCCTTAATCGATATTCAAAAAAATAGATCTATTAGTTGCTATATAATATGGTAAATCCAATATTTTTGATCTAGCCAGTAAGATTGGACAATCATATTGAACCACAATCATATGACTAGTAGGTTCATTAAGACGTATTAGTTTTTCAAATCCACCATGTATACCGGTTTTGACAGGATAAACTGTATTTATCCTTTAAATAGTAATTTAACTTTTAAAACTCGAGTAATTCCAATTAAAATCGAGCAAATTAACGCCATTTGAGTTTGTCGTGAATTACGAGTTGACACGGTTCAATCAGGGGGTTTCAAAATTAAAATCAGAGAATCTTATTTTATTTTTCCGATTTATAATTCAACATAGTAAAAATGCTATTGAAATGCGTCACTTTATTTGTTAACTTTGAAACCCCCAATAGCACAAAATAAGGCTTGTATAATGATTATATTAGTTTAATAAAAGCATCTGTTAATAATAAAAATTTTTATTATTGTATTTTTTTGCTTGCCGATAATGCAATTTGCAGTTAAGTGGGGTACAAAATGACCTATTTTTGTTTTGAAATTTTGGAATCAAAAAATGATATAGGAGTTATTTGGAGTAGCCTTTTTTTTTAATAATATATTGTTCATATCATACGTAGCAAATCGAAAATGTGTACCAGGTTGTGCTCCGTATGATCATGTGATTGTCCGGAAATCAATCCAAACGATCATTAATGATATCGATTAATTAAATAAACTACTGTACCCTCATATTTCGTTTATTTTTCACTTCATATTTCGCTTCATACTTTGCTTCATACTTTTCGCGAATAGTAAGATATCAATCTAAATTAATCATTTGCAATAGTTCCAACAATTCATCGATTTCTTTTTCGTCTATTTATGTCTTTAATATGTAATTATTGATCAGAAATATAAGGTATTTTAAAAATGCATTAATTATTGTGGCAGATTAAAATGAAATCGGATTAAAATGAAATTTTTCTATTTTTTTAGGAAAATTTAAAATTTTTTGGGGGACATTTTTTAGGGTTAGGGTTAGGGTTTAGAGTTAGTTTTATTAATAAAAGAGTATAAGTGGGTTTTATCATATAAATAGGCTTACAAATCAAAATAAGATTTATGAATTACTAATTTCGAAATAAATACATCACTAATTTAATTCGAAATCAGAAATCTGTTCCTTAATTCTGAATCACTCAATTACATAGATTTATTACTTTTATTATTTTAACCTATGCGCTAATTCGAAATTGTACCCTTAAAAGCATCATATCTTGATTCCAAATAGCACCTGAAAATAATGCGAATTTTGTATAACAAGTATTAGTGGAATTTGTAAATATGCATCGATTCAAAATTTTGACTTCAAAATAAATTTCGCGGCTATACGGTAGCTTGTGGAGTTTGCATGAAATCATAAATAGTAACCAGGATTAAATTGCATAATTGCCTCTATAAGCAGACATGTGGCAAAATCTAGAATTCTATTTGTTTTTAATAACGCAAGAATATACATTATTATTTTAAATATATCGATTAATAAATAGTTATTAGATAAACTTACATTATTTTAAATCAATCAATTCATAAATATTCTTTCTAAATTGTTATAATATAAATAAATTAAATTAAATGAGAGATAGTACGTATATAATTGAATAGCTCACCTTAAGTATATGATTAATAAAATAATCCTGCCCTGATTAAATTAGCTTATTTTAAACGCAAAGATTTAATAAATGTTCGAAAAATTGACATGACCAATAAAAGATGCTATGAAATAACAAGATATCGTAAGGAATTTTTTGATTGTTGAGTTATGAGTAGTGTGAAAAAAGCATTATCTTAATTTTGAAATTTGGGTTGGACGTAAGTTATATGTCTTCAGAATTTTTTTGGACTAACAACCTATATATTATATATTGTGTGAGAATCCTTAAAGTAGAATTTCTAGCTTTCATGTAAGATCTCTAAACATATAGGACATGCATATGAAGTAGAAAAAGGAAAATATGTCACTTATCAACCACGACTTATACGTACGTACGTACGTACGTAAAACGTTGGTCAATCATCACTACAGAAACATTTGTCAGGTTAGAAATGGACAGAATATAAAATTTCATTTTAGTATGCATGTTTTGGCCAAAATTATGATTTAATTTCTTAATGCTGGTCAGAATTAATAAAAAAAAAAGCAATTATTACGTAATTGGGTTGGTTTCATTTTACACATCGTTAAGATTGTCGACAAACGATAACGATAAGTGTAAAGTGTAATTACGTACGTACGTACGTACATAGTTAAACTAACCTAATTACGTAATAATTAAATGGCCAATTTTTCTATATCAGATATATGAGCGCGCGAGAGGGAGTAAGTATACAATATTGGGCAAAAATTGTCAACGGTAATTTGGCAAATGAGCACGTGCCGCAAAGCGGCACATGTAGCCAATCATTTGCCAAATTACCGTATTCGACAATTTGCCCAATATTGGTGTTATCCGGCAATTTATGATCATGATTGGTAGGGAGTCGCTCGCTGTGTTTTAATTTTGAATACTGGAATAAACATAATTACATAGTAACATGATCATATGAATTTTCCGGATAACGCAATATATTGTATGATCTGACCAATCAAATTTTAAAATCGGTCTGATCTTGAAACTTGATTTGTCAAAATCGTACAATATTTTGTGTTACTTGCACCTTTTCCCTCTCATGCACTCATATATACTATTCTTACTTTTACGTAGTACTAAGTCCATTGAAAGCCATGCCAACCACCTTTGTAACTATTCTCAATTTGCTTTCGCGTCTTTCTAACATCGAAAATGAAAATAAATTGTCAGAAGAGGAATTGATTGACTTAGTCGATTATTTTGACAAAAATGTGAATGAACAAGCTATGATATTGGCAGTTTTAAATAGTTTTCCAAATGATAACATTCGACTCAAATATTTGAGGTCTAAAGTAATTTCAAAACCAGGTATGATTTCGAAAATTAACATTTTGATAGACTCTTCAAATGCCAATATTCTCAATCTAAACTATATCTTTAATGTCAATTTTGTGTCTTATTATATCTTTCTTTTTGCAGATTTACTTACAGAAGCAGAACTTTTCCGAACAGTTATTCCTACTCCTAAACTTCGTACTATTAAAACAACAAACACAGTAAAAGCAGCAATGAGAAAAATTACCAATGCACCAATTTTCAAGTGGAATGACTTTTTTGTTAATGCCTATAATTTTTCATTAACTCTTGATACAAGCAACCACAGATTTAGAAACCCTGAAATTAAGGAAATTGAATTATCTGTTGAAGATTCAGTTGTTGACATATTCTTGAAAACAGTGAATGAAATTAATAATCAAAGGTTAATTCTCTTACCAAAACTGGAACGTTGGTGCAAACTTTATGTATTTGAAGGTATTAAAGGTCGACTGGATGCTATACACTGTAGTGCAGATAATAAAGAGCTTTTAATAGCTCCTTCTAAAATACTTTCAATAGTAGTAGTTAAACCCGAACAATTGATGCAAAATTTAATAGATCATGGAACTGAATTATTTGAGACATACAATACAGCATTGACAACGAATTATAATGAAGCAAGACATGAAAAAATCATTAGACAAGTATTTGGATATATGATTGTTAATGATTTACGATATGGCTTGCTTACAACATATGTCCAAACATGGTTTTTTTGTCGTCAACAGAAAAACCCAGACATACTCTACATTTCTCGGGAAGTTCATATCACTCAGGGTCACACTAATAAAGATGCCTCATTCCTTGAGTGTATACGTTATTTCGAAAAGTTATCTTCAGAAGATACATTTGATCATTATTCGCCACCTAATTCTGAAGGTGATGATTATCATGGTTCGGATATTGACGATAACAAAGATAATAATGCTAGTAAAAAGGATAATGGAGATGATGACCAGCTATCAGATTCTGATGAGTTTCTTAAAAATATGAAAAATTATAAACGCAACCAAATTTCTTTTGGTGATTTATTGAGAGGTGGTCGATCCGGTTCCGTTTTTAAAGCCAAGTTTAATGAAAAAACAGGTGCTCTTAAAATGGCAGATTTGTATAAAAATGAGTATCTGGTGACAGAACTGTTAAATGAAATCAAAATTTACCTCGGTCCTCTCAATGACATTCAAGAAATTTTCATACCAAAACTTTTGAAATATGGAGTTCTTCACGAAGCATTTGTTTTTCTTTTTGTTTCATTTGCCGGAAAATCGGTTGCAGAATTAGAGAATGAAGTCACAGTAATAGAGAAAAAATTGGCAATTTTAGGTTTACAAAAAGAAAAGTAAAGCATGCCCTATAAAAAAAGTTTTTTCTGTTTTTGTTCTGTTTTTGTTTAGCTTTTGTCGGTATTGTTCAAAAAATGTTCAGAACGGAGTCATTATCGTAGTAAAGGCAGGACAAAAATCGTACATATTTTTATAATTGAAAAATTTAAAAACGTACAACTTTTGTTCTGTTTTTATACTATAATGACTCCATTCTGAACTTTTTTTGAACAATATCGACAAAAGTTGAACAAAAGCAGACAAACTTTTTTTATAGGGATGGTGATATCCGATTGGAGAATATAATGATAAATAGAGATGAATTGACAGATAAAACTTCAGTATGGTGGATTGATTTTGTATGGAGCAAAATGGGATGCGACAAAAAAGATTTGAACAAGGAATTGATTAAATTGAAACATTTACTTGGTATGTCAGGTTAAGGTGTACTGTACGTATTAAATTGTATTTGAGATTCAAAGATTACCGAATTTTTGAGTTCATTAGAATATTACAATGCACAGTACAATATATCAACGTTTTAACAATAGGTATATAAAAATCATGGTTAGTTAAACTTGATGAAAATAAATTTTGCATGTGGTTATAAAGCTATATTTTAATAGAAAGTAATTTTTTAAACGTTTCAAAAGTAAAATTAAAATTTTAAGCCCTTATAACTTTGACTTATATATAAAACTTAAGTGTGAGGTATTTTACATATGATCATATACAAATCAGACAAGGTCATGACAAAGTATTTTCTAAAATATAACACACAACTTTATTCATCTTGTCGAATTACGAAACCAAAAAACTGCATTTCAAATAATAATAAGTCATGTTTTAAGTGCACAACCCATGTAAATTGAAGCATAAAACAGAAACGTGAGGATCAAATTTTAAATGATATTAGCAAGCAAAAAGAAAATGATACAAAATCCGAAATATATAGTTTATGAAAAACTTATGGATATTGAGAGAAGCAATATTTATATGAAATTGAAATAGTTGTAGATATTTCCCAAACAGTTAATGAATAGAAGTAAATAACATGAATGAAGCTTTTCTAAGTTCATTGTCATTATATTATGGTTTATAATTTCTAAATCTAATATTACAGTATATTAATTTAGATACAATGCAATTCCCAATATCCTCTCACATTACGGAAACTTTATGGGAAAATATTCGAATATCAACCTTAATCAATTACAAACAAATCAATTTAATAATAGATCTGGTAAATTCAGAAACAAAAATATTAATAATGAAGAATTGAGTACTAAATATAGTGAATCCGAATCTGAAATTTACTTGTCATGGAGTTTCCTGGTACTACCGTGTACTGGTGGGTCTTTACTATCTATCTTTACTCGCTTGGCTAGTATCTTCGAAGACCGTGTATCGTACAGGTCCTTCCACCAACGATGATATGATCACACAGGTAATGGTTTATTCACTAAGTTCGTTTTCACTAAGCAAATGTAACCCTAAAGCTAAGAAGCTCAAAAAGCTTGGTTCTTTCCCTTTCGGGATCGATACCTTATATATTATTACTAATCGCTATTCAGCGTCACTGATTATTACATATTATCTCATCGCTCATGCAATCAATGATTTAAACTTTTAATTAATTCCCATGCACACCCAAATCACGCCATTCATGCAAATTGGGATCATGACCCGATCATGATCCCTGACCTTGCGCTACGAATATCCGGGGTACCAACGTGACCACGACATTACTCTTCATGAGGTATAAAAATTTTCTCATTATATTTCCATGTTTAAATAAATTTATTATTAATTTTATGTTTTAGCCGCTTGATTGCCTTGAAAAGTCAAATAATTTTCCCAAACAAAAAAAATGGCTTTGAAAGTATTGAATCGAACTTTAAACCTATTCAAAAAAATAGTAGATGACATTAAAGATTTTGAACGAGCATAAAAGCTTGTAGTGGACGTAACAAAGTACCTTTTATTGATAGCATAAAAAATTCATATTTGAAGCTTTATATGTGTATTACATGCAGGCGACTTTTTGGAATTGGGCCCAAAGTAAAAACCCCGAATTACTATTTGATTGATTGTAATTTTTGCATTATACTATACGTCAACCACATGACGTATATATAAAACTATACCCCAAAACCAATAAAACTAATATAATTCTTATGTCAAACCCATCTCCCCACCTCAAAACCCATCTTTTTTTTATCGGTAAAACCCATCTCTTTTTATCAGTAAAACCTATTTCTTCCTATTATTATTAAAATTTACATGAAACGATCTTCAATTTATGGTATATATTAATTTATTAACTGTTTGTAATATTGATATAATAATATTTATGATGATCTTTAATTTAGTAAATTAAATAGCTATCGTCTCAAAATTCAAGTGTAATGTATGTGGAAATTTATACAACACAAATAGAGGATTAAAAAGACACCTCAATATTGTTATGAAATATAATACTCCATGTTCAGATCTTGATATTTTGCCTGAAACTACTATATAACAATTCAAAGGCATTTTAGTTCATTATATTCACAAACGATTACAAAAAGGATACAAACAATTAGGCAAACAAACAGTATTAGTTCCTTCTACTGAAAGCCAATTTTATGCAATATTTAAAAATTATATACATTATTATTCAGCAGCAAAAAATAAATATAAATATATATTTAATAGAAGCTCATCTAATCAAGAATTGGCGAATATTTTAGATTCACAAAATTGGGGAATTAAATTTTATGATCAACAACAATGTACTTATATTGTACTTTGTGATGATAATATTATTGAAAATGAAGAAAACCTGATTAAACAAGCTATTACACAACAATTAACTTTAAATAAAAAGAGTTATAAACCAAAATATAAGTATGGACAATTGATAGTTGAATGGAAAAAACAAAAAACTATTGATTTTAATAGTTATATTACTTAAGCGGGTTATATTTATTTTCATTTTTATATTAGCCAAGCTGTTATTTAATAGATTTTTTTATTAAATCATATTATATATAAAATTATTATTGTATGCAGAATATTATTATTTTAAATATAAAACTATAATTTAATTGCTTTAAGTTTTAATATTAATTTTTTGTAGTTTTTTGTAATCTATTGAAGTATTATGTTGATTATAATAAAGTATTCTATTTTCATATTGTAATATTTCTAAAATTGCATTATTATTCTGTGTTGTTTTTTGAAAAAAAAAAGATACTTGTTGATGATTTTTTTTTTCAACTCCACAACATGAAAATGCTACTAATCCTTATTTTTGATGAACTTTCATAAATTCAGAAATATGATGCACTAATACATGAATATAAGGTGTTATATGATTAGGTTGATATAATCCTTTTTTGAATTCTTGAGTATTTGGAGTTCCTTTTGATAGCAATAAAAATAAAGTAAGCCAATTTTTTGCATAATATTGAAAATCTTTACTTTTTGTATTAGGATCTTTCATCATTATATAAAGTTCATAAAATTTGGCCCATAGTTCTTTTATAATACTAGCACGACTTTTTGGAAGAATTTTTGATAAATCAAAAAATTGTAAGACTTTGAGTTTATCTTCTCCCATTAATGAGGTATAATTCCAATCTTTGGATTCATGATTTTTCGAGAATTGAAAAGTTGCATTAATTCTTTTCATTTCTTCAATAATAATCTTTCGTGCAATATCATTAAATAAATCATATTCAATTAATTTTGCTATAATAAGACTCCATAATCGATCTGTAATTCTGAGCATAATATGCAGTTTATCAGGAATCCAGTGATCAAGATCAATCATATTAAAAAGAGGTTTTTTTTAAATGACCTTTATAATAATTTAGTTGTTCAATTAATATATTCATTTTCTTGGAAATTTTCTATTCTTTTAATAAATCTCCTTGTTGTGATTTATTAATTGTACACCATGGACAAAAGTTTTTACTATGAGCACTATTAAAATCTACATCAGCAAAAAAAATAGACCGATATATATCGATTACTAGCCGGGTAATTATATATCGATACCAATCACCCCTG